CCCCCCCCTACCAGTAATAACATTTTTATTACATTTACTTGAACGTCGCTGTTTCTTTTTTAATTTTCGTAGTATATCCCGTGTCCAATAATTACAATACTTAACCGAAACCTGCCTGTGACCAATCCTGAAAACGAACTCTTCACCCATACCGCGTAACGTACTTGTTGCTGGTGTTTGCCTCATTCTTTTGATGATTGATAATTGAGCCGCTTTCGTTGCGGGCGTTTGTCTGTTCTACTGGAATAAGCACGTCACGGTTTTCGAGGTCCTCAGGTACTACAAAGGCTGGCTTTAATCCGTCTACGGAAACCGTTAGGTCCCTATTGTTGACTCTAATTGTGTATGTTTCTTCGTCTCTTCGCGTTACTTTAAACCCGTCATAAGGTGGCCGTAGAGGGCCTCTAATCGCGTCATATCTCCAACTCCATCTCGCGGAAAATGAATATTTTCTTTTTGCCGTGTCGCGTAACAGGCTGTGGTCTGACCTTCTCCATCTGTTCTTTTAGCAGGTTCGCGAATTCCGTGTTGGCCCGCTGATTGGTTGGTAAGAAGAACGCCGGCAATCGTATGACGGTGCCATAGATCATTTCGGCTGCCGTTGCGTTAAGGTCCTCCTTTATCGCGCTTCTAATGCCTAATAGCACGATTGGTAGAATCTCCATCCAGTTGCTCGTGTCGTAGCACTTGATTGCCGCTTTGAGCTGTCTATGTAAGCACTCCACCATTCCATTAGACGCGGGATGATAGGCCAGCGTGCGTAGATGGGTGACTCCCAGTAACCGGTATAACAGACCCGATTCAAATTGGCGTCCCTGGTCGGTTGTTATCTTTAAGGGAACGCCGAAACGAGAGATCCAGGTGGAAAGGAGGGCCGAGGTTGGCGCTTCCATGTCAGCGATAGGAATGGCTTCGGGCCAACGCGAAAAACGACCGATACACGTGAGGTGGTATATCGTGACAGGTTCGGAAGGAATAGTCAGATGTATTCAACGATAAATGTAATTAACTGTAACGTTTGATGAGTACACTAGGTTCTATTCGGTTCGCGGTGCACGGTTACAAGTTCGAGCTCGGATAGTTATGATCCGTGATGCGCTACGAGTGCGGAGTGATTGCGCGAGATGTCGAAGGCTTGGATAGTTAGTTGACTCGGACCGAGCGATTGTAACGACCGTTGTGTGTTGACTCCCTGAAATAGACTGACTGACTTTCGTCACGATGCTACTGCGAACGGAAACTGTGCTGGGATGTCTAAGAATGCGAGGTCATTGGATTCGTTGAGAAAAGCTTTGGTTCGGAAGTGAGGGAGATGTACGTTAATGTTTATTGGCTAATTAATGTTGGCGGGAAGCGTCGTACGTGAGAGGAAGCAGATTTCTCGTGTGTTCCCGTAGTAGGTGGTCAAACTTAGGGACTGATAAACGAAGACCGTTTGTCTCTTTGGAGTACCTTAACTATAGTAAATCCTAGGGTTTATAGCGGGTCCTTAGGCTAAAAATGTCCGGTACGAATGTGTCGACATCTAGCAATTATCTTGTCCTCAGGTATAGGGTTTTTGTGTCGTGCGCACGTCACAGAAACTGTTGGAAGGTTTACTGTCGAGTGCCGCTACACACGTTAGACAATATCGATAGCCTTGCGAATATTGCATTACGATAATGTCACCGTGTATATGCTCGAATCGACGTGCTAATGTTTTAAACGTTCCGACTGGTGAAGATACGTGTCTGGTGATTTTATTACGTTGGCACGGTGTGCATCGTCGCGTCACGTACGACAATCTTTGTTTACAGATGGCCAGACAAAGTGTGTGGTCATCAGTTTCTGCGTGGCTCGTATCCCCGGATGGGAGAGTCCATGTAACGACTGAAATACGTTGAACGGCCGAAATATCGCAATATATTTCCTCGTCGGAAAATCGAATTTTCTCAAGTCGCAGCGCGCGAGAGTCGGAGTTGAGGATTTGGCGTAGTTCATTGTCGCTTTCCTGCGCTGCTGCTAACGATCTACCGAGTTTTCCACTGTCTTGATAAGGAATAGCGTGTCGGCTACCTCCTTTTCTACGCTTTTTACGTATCGGATGTCGGTTGTAAATTGTGCTACAAATATCCCTTTTATTTCTTTTATCATCGCCTCAAATCCTCTCTATTTTTTCCATCATTACCTCAATTCCTCTCTCCCTGGTTGGCGTCTCTTTTTCTGACAAGCTGTAACTATCCAATGTGTTTTTCAAATCTTCCTTATCTCCCGCTTTACCCGCGTTCTTTAACCTTCCTCCGTTTAACGCCATCTTTTGTTTCCCCGCCTTACTTCATTTGCCGCGCTTTTGCCTTTCTAACCTCTTCTCCGCCCGCGTGTTACCTTCGCACCGAACCAAACCGAAAGTCGTAAATTGTGCTACATAACCTAAGCAGCGAAATTGTCGCGACGAACATTTTTCCAGTTTTTGTCGAAACGCGTAAATGACCTAACCTCTCTAACCTCAACGGCCTGTCGAAAGCGTTTTACAGCGGTGTAAATCGCGAGCAGTTCGCGATCGTAGGCACTGTACCTTTGTTGCGCGGGTGTTAGGGATTTTGCGGCAAACCCTAGCGGTTGCCATTTGTCATTCGCGCGTTGTTGTAAAACGACTCCTATTGCGTAGTCGGACGCGTCTACCATAAGGCTGACGGGCGTACCGGTTATCGCATGAGCTAGCATCGTGGCGTCCGTGTATATAATGGGCAAAGTCCTCTAGATGTGGTGACGTATATCTGTTCCTTTTTGGCACGATGTGCAGAGGCGATGCCCACGGGCTTTTTGATGATTGCATCACGCCTTGCTCATGGGCTCAAATTCCACTTTTACCTGCTTGAGCCTATCCGGTGCGAGGCGGCGGAGTTGTAAATTGGCGGGTCTGGCTTGTATCACGCTGTGTCGAGCCTTCTCCTTCCCGTAAAACAGCGGACGAGTGAGGCGGGGAAATTCCGCTAGCAGTTGGTGGTACGCTGAATCAGCGGTTTTTATCGACGGGACGTTGTCCGCGGCCGCGCGTCTCTTCCAAGATAACTGGGTCGTCGTATCTAGAAGTTTTTTATTACGTGGCTGCACGAGCAACCCGAAGTGACTTAGGAAATCCATGCCGATAATAGGTGTTTGGACGTCGGCCACGGTAAAATTCCACTTAAAGGCACACCGTAGGGACAAATTCAGGTGGATCGCGACGGTCCCGTACGTTGCCATTCGTGCCCCGTTAGCCGCGAACAACTCGTACTCGCTGTTTTTCGCGGGTCCGCGGATTTTGCTGTGTGGGTGGACGCCCATGTCGGCGCCGGTGTCTACCAGATACGAAAATGCGGCGGGATATCAAGCCGACGTCGTTCGCCGCGTTCACGGACGGCTGGCCGCGTTTCCCGAATTCCAATTGCACGGTAAGTTGCATCTTCTCGAAACGAAGTCGCGTGGTAGAAATGTGGCGGATCGGTATCAACAGGACGCCGACAGGTCGAGGCATCAACGCGGCGCAACACCTCCCTGGCGATCCGCGGGTACCAACCGCCAACGCCAGAGGGCTACGACGACAACGAGTCTGTCTATCTCGCTAGTGGTCGAATATACGGGGCCATGATACAAATACCGCACCTAGAGAGACTCCCTCTACGCCTAAGGCAGGGACTACCGGGCATAGCCTTACTGACGAGTCCACCGGTAGTCCCAGGACGAAACGCAAGACTCTCTTTTCACCACCTAGCTCCAACTACACCTCCTACAGAAACATAACCCATCTTGCCGCGAAGGGTCTCGGGATCTCGAACAGCGACGTTATCTTGTACGACAGCGTGATCGTGGTCGCGGTTGTCGACGGTTATCCATGCACAACGCGTTCATTTGCGCTTGCATGTGATTCATCTGATCTCTTAACGCGCTGATGGCGACGGCGGTCGAATCGCTCGTCCCGATGTTTTGTACAGGTGGACAGTTTTCCGCTGTTACCCGATCTGTGCTAATTACGGCAATTTGTCCTGGGTCCGGGCGTATGTCGTGGATGCTGTCGACGATTCGGGTCAGCGTTTCGGGCCTCTTATCCTGCACGGAGGCCAGGACATGCTGCACGTGAACCGGCAGCCGGCCTTCCCACACGGTGAGAACGAAATCATCTGGTGTAGCGGGGCTCAAATCCCCGTAAAATTGGGAAGGCGTTCTGTCGCCTATTTGCTCGTTTTCAATTAGCTTCAATCTTTTGCAGACTTAAGAGCGGCGTTCGACAGACTAAACAGAGAGAAACTGGAGGAGAAAATGAAGAAAATGGGGATTAGCGGAAAACTAACCCGAAGAGATATACGAATAAAACAAGGAATGTAGCGAGAGTCAAGAACCACAACACAAGAGAATTTTGGACTGTGAGGGGAGTCAGACAAGGGTGCCCGTTGAGCCCGACGTTATTCAATATCTACGTGGCAGGACTGGAAGAAGAACTAGGGAAAGGATAGGCTGGGGGCATAGTGGTAGGAGAAATAAAGGTATGTTCACTAACATATGCAGATGATATTGTGCTGATGGCTGATAGAGATGATGAGGAGCTAAAAGAAATGTTAATGAGGTTCAAACAATTTTTTAAGGAAGCCGAATTATAACTGAGCACGGAAAAAGAAGGAACAAAAGGAGACAAAGAAAATGGAAATGGGGAGAGCAAGAATTAGAAGAAGTGGACAAGATAAGACACCTAGGGTACATACTGCAGAGATGAGAAGCACATACAAGACAGGAAAAAGAGAGCAACAATAGCAATGAAGAAAACATGGAGCGTGAGAGAAAGAATATTCAAACAGGACTACAAAAGGAGAATGAAGATGTTTGGAGCACTGGTAGAGAGCGTGGCGCTGTTTGGAGCAGAGGCATGGGGCTGGAACATGGAAGAAAGACTGGATAGAGTACAAAGGAGATATGCGAAATAGATATTAGGCTTAGATATGACAACACCAAATTATATATTGATAGAAGAATGGAAATAAAAGGAAAAGCGTTAAAAAGAGCAGCAAGGTATGAAGAGAAAGCCTTAGAATTAAAAAAGTAATTAGTAAAGGAGTGTATAAAGGAAAGAGAGGGAAACTGGGGAAATGGCCTTGAAGGGAGAAGAGCAAGTAAGAGAAAAAAGGGACTAGAAGAGGTGAGAAAGGGAGGGACGCAGATAGAAGCAGGAGAGAAGCAAGAAAGGATGACAGCAGACCAAATTATAGAAGAAAGAAGAAAGAGAGAAACAGAAGAAAGGGGGAAAGGGATAAGGGAATCCAAATATAATATACACTACAGAAATATAGCCAAAGAAAAATTACCAAAGTACTTAGAAGGGAGGATGAAGTGGAAGGACAGAATACTGGCAAGATTCAGATGTGGAAACGAGACCAAAGCAAGGGAATATTGGGAAGAAGAGGGAGAAAAGGGATGCAGACTATGTAGAAGGAAAGAAGAAGACCTGAGACATGTAATAGAAGAATGTGAAATAATGGGAGGACCAAAGGACATAGGAAAAACGCTATATGAGACTGGAGAAGGTTTAACAGAACTGAAAGCAATAATAGAGAGGAGAAGGACAAACGACAGGAAGGATGCACAGCAAGGAGGCTAGAGACCAAAGTTGCAATAGTTCTTAGTCATTAGTTGCTAATTTGTAGTTTCTAGTTTCAGTTTTCAGAGATAGAATAATTAAGGTAGTGCAATAGAATAGAGTGGAAAAGAGGGGAGGTAGACATATAAGAAGAGAAATAGACATAAGGGATGTAAAACCGAAAGGCATGGACTAAGCAATAATAAATAAATTCATGTTGGTGCTCATGCCACAGATATTATTATCAAATTAAGAAATAGTACAGCAGAAACTGTAAAAACATGCGAAAGATTAGAGATCTTTTTTAATTGCCAAAAATTTCATTGGTTCGCCTTTCAAGGTATAATTAAAAGACTCGCATCTAATGAGCTATTTTTTAACTCCTTAATACACTTACTACTACTACTACTACTACTACTACATATACTACTACTTTATACACTAGCAATCAAGACACACATATTAATTATGACATTGAGTATGTTGCATTTGTGACAGATTTAAATGAAAAATTAATAAACAAGGTGTTGTAAATGTATGTCAGTACTTCAGAATTTTTCAAGTTTATCTTAGCCACCGTGAAGACTGCAGTGGAAAAAGAAAATATGCAAACGCTTGATTTCTTCATTAGTAGATAAAATTAAAACGACAGATAGGAATAAGTGGAAACCTGAAATGACTAAGCAGCATTACATTACTTCCCAACCTGCGAGACGCCAATAAAATATTATTCAAATATTAGTTTTCATACCATAATGTCCACAAATAAATAATTTAATATAAAAATAAATATACGTGTACGTATATGCTATAGAAAAACCTTGTTATTATTATGTTAATCAGAGTTTTCAGTTTCCTGTTTGTAATAAAGTTTTTATTAACTAACCTAAAATCCATTGCACACATTACAGCCAATATCACTGCCTTAATCGTTAATTTCTGCAACAAACTAATTTTCTCATGTCATTTAATAACCCCTTAACCTACAACTACGGGCATAGCCCGCAGTACGATGATCAGACCAAATGTAAATATTACGGGCATTCTCGAACGTAAATCGTAGGTTAAGGGTTAATTACCTTTAGACACTCTGCTTACTTCGCTGTATGTAATCCTACACTTATTTGCATAATCTTGCAATAAATCAATCGTTTCTGTTTTTGCCTTGCATAGTTAATTTTTTATTATGTTGAGTTCGTTGTATACGAGCAATCCTTGTCCGCGCGATATCACTGCAATCATACGTCCTTCTTTGTTTTCTCAATTAAGAACAACAAAGACAGACATATATGGTCGCAGTAATATCTCGCGGAGTTGTACTTATGTACTTATGTACACTTACCGTGAAGAAGTGTCAATCTTGCTGATTAACGAGCAACTAATATTAATATTAAATCATATCTGGTCTGCAGGAAAATTAATTACCTGTTCTGTCAACATTTCCATTTGATTCAGCGCGTTTCGTTGTTCGCCGAAACCAAGTGCGTATTGGCTCAAATACAGCAATGATTCAGTAGTTGCCGGTTGTAGGCGTATGATCGACAACAGTGTGTACAGGCCTTAATACTTGATAAAGAAAATTTTCAATGTAATTTCATTTTCGATTAGTTGAATTGCCGAAATTTTGTAACGTCCATGGCCCAACTGTCTGTATGCAGGTGCCAAAAGAACCAACAATATGCTGCCAGCATTATCATCAGCCATAAGTTTAATGTATGTAAGAGTTGACCATAAATTGAATTATAGTAAAAAATAATTCGATTCTTGTACATATCTAATTTTATTCTAAAGCATTCTGTAATTTATTATTTATAAAAGTAGACAGGATGGTTCGATTTTATTTGTCTGTACCACTATAATAAACATACATACAGATATTGTAAATTCACATTGTTGCGCTATTCAGAAAGTCGACTACATTCTATCAAATATGTATGTACAAACCATATCCACAGGATGAAGGAAAGAAATTACGAAATATAGTATTCGACGTCTGTAACGACTTTCCTTCATCGACGCTATGCTTATCTCATACTATAGGTTTCGATTACAATGCAATATATCAACATCAAAGGAACGTAACAGGAAAAGTTGTTGAACCGCTGCTTTACTAACTGTTTGTTCCCCGATAAGTTCGGATAAACAGACTATATTCTGACGCGAATTCCGCTATTCGCAATATATGATGGAAATATATTTCGAGTACATAATTATACGTTTCTATTATGTAATAAACAATAGCAGTCGCTGTAAATTAATTTGCAAAGACTGTTCACTTATTTGAGATAGTACAAAAAAATTATTCACTGTAAACTCCGTTTCTTGAACCAATCCTCTTTTATCATATCGGCACCCTTCTCTGCGATCATGATAATCGGAGCATTGGTATTACCACTGACTATGCTTGGCATAATCGAGCCGTCTATGACTCGAAGTCCGGTGACTCCGTAAACTCGAAGCCGAGGGTCTACTACAGCCGTTGGATCCGAATTAGGCCCCATCTTGCAAGTACCCACTGGGTGATATATAGTCGTGGCATAGAATCTGATCATGCACTCCCAGTATGGATCGGTATACATAGGAATATTCGTGCAGCCAGAAAATGGTTTCGGTAATAATTTGCTTCCATAACGTCTAAATGATGCAGTTTTACTCATCTCGACCACAAACTTAATTCCTTCTACCAATGTCGCCACATCGTCCGGGTTTTCGAAATAGTTGGGATAAATCAACGGGTAATCGAAGGGATTGTTGCTTCGAAGCTTGATAACCCCTCTACTTTTCGGCCTTATAAGCGTGGGAACCGCGGTCCATGCGTCCTTATGATTAAACTCCCCAAATACAGCATCGTAGTATTCTCTGTTCAGACCGTAAATCTTTCTAAGAACTCTGCCGCCGTCGGTGTTCTCAGCCAATGCCGCAAAATGCAGTTGCATGTCTGGGAAATCGTCGGAGGCATTCGCGTATTTGGTATTGATAAAAGCTAGTCCTTCGACACCTCCTGGATCTGACAAAGGACCGGCGCCGGATATGGCGTATTCCAGCAAATATCGAATATTGTACAACCTGCTCTCTACCAACGATACTTCTTCATCCAGCAAGAATGTAAGGCCTCCCGCCATTATATGGTCTTGAAGGTTATAACCCACACTTAAATTCTGAATAACTGGTATCCCGTGTTCCTTTAAGTGTTCTCCAGGACCTATTCCGGACAGCATCAGCAATTGAGGGCTGTTGATAGATCCTGCGGAAACTATCACCTCCTTGCTGGCATTGACGCGCAACGTGCTTCCGTCTCTAAAGAACTCTACACCGTAAGCCCTCTTTGACGATGGATCTATTAAAATTTTCGTAACATGTGCGTGCATAGCGACGTGTAAATTCTTACGCGCGCTGGCAGGTCGCAGGAAGGCCTTCCCCGTGGAACACCGGCTCCCATGTCTAATGGTCGCCTGAGCAATCGTAAAGCCAGTCTGCCGTTCTCCATTAATGTCTCTATTCTCGTAACCCATTTCTC